CTGGGGCCCTGCCTTCCCTGTAACCGCAGCTGCTGCTGCTGGTACTCCTCCTGGTTGCGGGTGCGCCTGCTGGCCCGGGTGCAGGTGGATGTTCCAGGCAGGGTGCTGCACCCTGCACTTGCAAGTGCTGCGGCTGTGGTGAAACAAGAGCAGTGGTCAGTTCTCCTTGGTGACACAGTGGGTGAAACCCAGCCCCCCTCTGCAAGGCAAGGTCGGTGTGTGGGGAACCGGCCAGGGACCCTGCATCACACTCAGCTGCTGCTCCATGGTGGGCAAGGCCCAGGCGCACGGTCCCTGGGCTCCCTCTCTTTTGCCTCTTTCCCCAACCTCCAGGTTTAGTCCTAGCATAAATAGGCACAGCTCCATTAACAAGTACGTTTTTTGTGCCTTTCCATAGACACAACCTATTTGCCATTGTGGGCCCACATACACAGTTCTCTAGATGTTATGTGGGCTGCACCCACACAATATATATACTCCCTGAATGGGCTTCAGTTGTGGCTGCTTAGACCACCAGTTGTCCTCAGACTGCAGGTTTAGAACTTCTGTATATGGTGATATAACGCATCAGCAAATAAACATATCTTTATGCACAATCAAGGAGTAATTATATTTACAGGTAAAAGACTTAGGAAATTTTTAAGAGGAAAAAAGCATTGGTGAAGAGTGAACATAGAAAGTTGCGCAAAATGTTAAAAAAAACACTGATTTGCAATGTGATGCAGATTAATAAAAGATGCATTTAAGTATAAACATTCTGTTTCAGGCGGAGGATGGGCATCATGTGGAAAGGAGGTTGTAATGATAAATTTAATTACTCAATTAATGTAATTAAGCATTTGTCATAAAATCCTTATGTGCCACACCTACTTTGAGATGTGTCGAAGTTTTTGCTGATATGAACTGTAATAGTTTAGTCTTGTATAAGAAGATACAAGATGACTGATGACTGGGGAAGTTATCCATGTGCCTACAGTGTACGTGAGCTTTGTTAGGCAGCAGATTTTAAAAAAAGAAATAGATACGTTCATGGAGGATAGGTCTGTTAATGACTATTAGTAGAATGGGCAGGAATGGTATCCCTAGCCTCTCTTTGCCAGCTGCTGGAAATAAGTGACACGAGGGCTACGTCTACACTGGCATGATTTTCCGAAAATGCTTTTAACGGAAAAGTTTTCAGTTAAAAGTTTCGGAAAAGCGTGTCTAGCTGGGCAGGACGCTTTTCCGCAAAAGCACTTTTTGCGGAAAAGCGTCAGTGGCCAATCTAGACGCACTTTTCCGCAAAAAAGCCCCGATCGCCATTTTCACAATTGGGGCTTTTTTTGCGGAAAACAGTACTGTGCTGTCTACACTGGCCCTTTTGCGCAAAAGTATTTCGGAAAAAGACTTTTGCCCGAACGGGAGCAGCATAGTATTTCCGGAAAAGCACTGACGATCTTACATGAGATCGTCAGTGCTTTTCCGGGAATTCAAGCGGCCAGTGTAGACAGCTGGCAAGTTTTTCCGCAAAAGCAGATGATTTTGCGGAAAAACTTGCCAGTCTAGACACAGCCTTGATGATTATCTATTCTGTTCATTCCCTCCGGGCACCTGGCATTGGCTGTTGTCAGAAGACAGGACGCTGGGCTAGATCCTGTAAGGCTTTTCTGATGTTGAGAACAAAAGATGCAGATAAATTTCAACATTATTAAAGTGAAAATTTAATTTAAAGCATTAAAAATTGTTTAAAAACTTGTTGGGTGGCAACTTAGCATAGCTGATTGACTTCTGGGAACTTACTAATCTGTGTTAAAACAAAACATTGCATATTAAATATAAACATATTTCAAGAACTATTGATTATTACAAAAACTGATATGCTTTTATTCATGTTTATGCTACAAATATTTGTAATAAAAATATAAAGTGAGCAGCATTTTACACCTTGTATTCTATGTTGTAAGTAAAATCAATATATTTGAAAATGTAGAAAAACATCTAAAATATTTATAATAAATTTCAATTGGTATTTTATTTGATAATGCAATTAACTGATTAATTGCAATTTTTTAAATCATGTTTTTTTGAGTTAATTGTATGAATTAACTGTGATTGGCAACTCTACCGTAAAGCTCTTTGGCACTGGTTCAGATAAAGTGGTCTTGAAATTTGAGAGAGCAATGGTAGCAATTTGAGCAATAGTAGAAATTTGGGAGAGCAATAGACGGTCTTTTGGTATGTTTCTTTTCTCTTCCATTCCAATTTTTTCAGGTTTTGAAATACAACTCACCTATTAAGAGAAGTTGCTGGTGTTTAGCTTTTTGCATAGCTCTTCAGAGAAACATAGATTCTACATTTTAGTGAATGTAAGCTATCATTCAAACAAGCCAGAATTTGTCAAACATCCTTTTCTCTATTTTTAACTCCTCTCTTAACTTAGCTTATGCAGTATTTTACATTGAATTAAAAACACCTAAGGCAAATCTCATGTTACTTAAAAACCTTTTTTTTTTTTTTGAGTTAATTGTCAGTGCATTGTTGTGAACATCAGTGCATTACCACCAGTTTGCCAAGAGTCTTATTTTTATTCCTTGAAAAATATTCGTATTAGTTAATTAATAAAAGAGCAGGGAAGGGGAGAGCAGAGAGTGACTCTGAGACAACACAGAAATATAAAGGAGAGGTTGTGGTAGTGTAAGTTCTCATTTAAGTGGCTATTGCATGAATTGTAGTAACTAAACAATATCCCAAACAAGCAACTTTCTTTCTTTTTTTGCATTTTAGGTGATGTATCTCCAATTCACATGAATCCTATTTCTCAATCCCAGTTTGTTCCTTTGGCAGAAATTCTTTGCTGTGCTATATCTGATATGAATGCAGCTCATGTTATTGTTACCCAGGAAACATTAATGGATCAGTTGGAGAAACATTATCCAGGTAACATGTTAATAATTTTTCCCTTCAGAAGCTAAAAGGTTGTAATTCTTATATTGCTGACAAGTGCATGTGAACATTTATAACAATATGCCTGAAGCTAGCAAAATAGAAGAATGCAATTGAACAGGAAATCATAAAGTAATTTATACATCCACGCAAACTATCGTTGTAAATCTACATACAGTGTGGTAAGATGTATTTTATTTGTATATAGAATTCTTCCTACAATGTATTACTTTACACTGAGAAATAGAAAGAAAATAAGAATGCTGTGAAAGTATATCAGTGGCTGAATTCTAATGAGTGAGAGGTTATGGAAATTAAAAGAGGTTCTAAAAGAGGCCAAAAGGTACAGAGCTATGAAAGTGTGGCATTCCTAATTGGTGATTCTGAACCTTTTAGTCCCCCTTTTGAGTGGATGGAAACATGAGATTAAATTTATGTTGGGAGTGTGGGACTTCATCCTGTTGAAGAATCCATGTTAAAGGTCTGGTCACAGTTATGATTGGCCTCAGATTTGGGTTTGGAGGCCAAACATTTCTTCGCCCCAAAAAGGAAATTTTAAATTAATCACTCAGCCTAGATCAGTGGTTCTCAAAATGGGTCGTGGGCCGGCCTGGGTAAGTTGCTAATGGGCCCACACTGCTTTATTTACCTAAAGTGTCTGTAGCCAAATAGCCTTGCAGTTCCCACTGGCAGTGATTCGCCATTTCCAGCTAAGGGGAGCTGCAGGAAGCTATTTTGTCTTTTATCTTACTGACCCATTTACTTATGTTAGCCCAAATAATCCAGTATGTCAGCCTGCTGATCTAGTAACTTCCTAATTCTGTTTTCCAAAGAAGGAGGCCTCCCTCATGTTTACTCATGTCAAGCCTGGCCTACATCTGGTACCCCAGAAAGTTTCTTGGTCTGATAGTTGTCGCCTCTCCTGATCCTCAGTGCTCCTCTAGTCCTGCTTAGCATACAGGCTACTCTGATAAGCAGACACCTCTTGCTTATTTGCGTCTAATACAAAATTAGAGGTTTCTAACTATATAAGCTTTGAGTGTGTTACCATAGATTAGGCTAGAGTCCTGCCAGGAACCTGAAATAAGCTTAATCTGAAATCTTAAAGCCCCTGCTATGATTTAGCTCAGATGGAAATGACATTCTAAATACTTGTAATAAATGAATGGATATCTCACTCTGCAGACTATTGGTGACAAAACTTGCCATCTATGTTAGGCCTTGTCTACACTGGCTGGCTACGTCTACACTGGCATGATTTTCTGGAAATGCTTTTAACGGAAAAGTTTTCCGTTAAAAGCATTTTCGGAAAAGCGCGTCTAGATTGGCAGGACGCTTTTCCGCAAAAGCCCTTTTTGCGGAAAAGCGTCCATGGCCAATCTAGACATGCTTTTCCGCAAAAAAGCCCCGATCACCATTTTCACGATCGGGGCTTTTTTGCGGAAAACAAATCTCTGCTGTCTACACTGGCCCTTTTGCGCAAAAGTTTTTCGGAAAAAGACTTTTGCCCAAACAGGAGCAGCATAGCATTTCCGCAGAAGCACTGACAATCTTACATGAGATCGTTAGTGCTTTTGCGGAAATTCAAGCGGCCAGTGTAGACAGCGGGCAAGTTTTTCCGGAAAAGCGACTGCTTTTCCGGAAAACGTGGCCAGTCTAGACACAGCAGCTTTGTTTTACTAGAAGCTTTCATTCTCACTAGGCAGGACTGCAGGGGCATGAAAAACCTAGATCAGCCCACCCACCCCGGTTTTCACTAGATTGTCATGGACTATGTCTCATGATTGAAAAGCCTTGATGGAAATGGTAATCAGCATGTGGAAGTTGAAAACTTGTGTTTATTCATAATTGAATAAATGCAGAGGAGAATTGCTGTACTGGAGGTAGTTGGGCATCCTGCCTCCAACAGCAGTCAGTATCACATGCATCAGTATCACATGCAACAGTTGATATGATGGACCATTATGGAATAACATACCCAGTGGGAGCTCTTTGTAACTGCTGTTATTTATTGGGTGGCTGCACAGTTTATTTCGCTCATTAATATTTTATCCTATTTAATGTAATGAGGACATCTTCAGTTACCATGTAAATGTTTAATCCTTTAAAAACAGTAACAGAAAATTAACACTGATTTCTATGAGCATAGCTAGAAGGGTCACACGTTCCTGTTCTTAACACTTTAAAAGTTCCAAATCATCTTTCTCTTGTGTTCCTATTTAATATTAGAACAAAGCCAATTGAAATATGGCTGGCTCCTTTACTTCCTCCTTTTCAAAAGTTGGCTTCTTTTACAACACAGGATTTGAGGTTGAGCAAGATGAATTGTTATCTGGCCTTCGCAACTGAGATTGGTAAATTCAAAAGAGAGGTTAGAGTAGATATCTCAAACTCATGACTTACTGGCCTTCTACAGCCCAAGCAGTTTCACAATACAGCCTGGGAGTCCCTGCAGCCTGGGGTATATATATCCATATACGTCCCCTAAGTCCCGCTCTCCCTATCCATTGCACACCCTTCCCCCAAACCCTCCCTCATGAGGGAAGCAGCCTTGGGATTTACTGGGGGGTGGGGACTTGAGCAGGGTGGTAGCAGTGGTTGGGTTCCCCAACACTCATCACAGTTGCAGGAGTCACAGGGAAGTGGAGTGTAATGGGTCTGGGACAGTGACATGGCCTTCCTCTGACCTGGAAGAAGAAGGTGGGCAGTCTGGGACAGTGACATGGCCTCCCTCTGACCTGGAAGAAGAAGGTGGGCGGGGCCACCTTCCCCTCGCCCCGCCCACAGGAAGCTGGAAGCAGGGGTATAAGAGCTCAGAGCTCAGTTGGAGCCTGGCAGCCAAACAGGCCAAACACCCAGCCTCAGCTCCCGCAGTGAAGGGCCCAGCTACGCTGAGCCCGACAGGACGACTGGGTTGGGCTGCCAGGACCCCTGCCGGCCCTTGACAACTTGCCTGGACCACGGAGACTGCTGTCATGTCCCGATGACTTGCTGAAAGGACCCCCACCGGGCCCTAATGACTGGACCAGTCCTCCTGGGTCTGGGATAGTGACATGGCCTCCCTCTGACCTGGAAGAAGAGGGTGGGCGGGTCCACCTTCCCCTCGCCCCACCTACAGGAAGCGGTCCCTGCCTGAGCCGGAGCCAGAAGCAATGAACACACTGCCAGCACCTCCATCCCTGGCTGACTCTGAGACGCAGCACCTGAGCCAAGTAGGCCTCCAGGGTGAACTGGGAAGCAGCCCAGGAACTGCCGACCCCAGGGTGGTTGAGGAGTTGGAAGTCGGGTGGGCAGCGCGTTGTGGCTTGGAACCCCACTAACCCACCGACCTGGTTGGCATGTTGCGGGCTGGATCCCTGCCGACCCAGTGGCCACCATGTTGTCACTGTCAGTTCCCCCTGTGGAGGCAAAACCCCTGCGTTTGTTGGCTCTCTGCCAGCTAGGAGACCCAACCCCTGACCAGTTGGGACTCGGCTGGACCCTTGAACTGTTGTTGAACCCCCCCTCCCGTGTAAACTGTTGGCTTTCTGCCCTGCCCTGACTCGGGTGGGCCTGATAAACTGCTTAGTTATAGACTTGTGACATGGCCGTTCCCTTCAACGGACAATAGCGGGAGTCAGTGCTGCCTCCTGCTGACGTGGTCCTTTACAGAAGCGAGGCTGCATCCCTCAGGAAAGGAGGCTCGGAAGTAGAAGTGCAATGGCAGGAAGGGGTGGGACTTTTGGGGAAGAGTATGGACACACCCTTCCTGGGTGCAGAGATTCCTGGGTCAGACTGTGAAACTGCTTGGATTGAAGATATCCCGCAGGCTGTGAGTTTGTGACCCCTGTGTTAGTATATCTTTGCCCTTTACTGGAGAAAATTCATACATGCTACTCTTCACTGGATTGCCTATAGATAAACCTCTTTATTTTTAGTTTAAATCAATTTTTACCAAAAAATCCTGTTTTATAGAAAGCATTATTCTGTTTTTTTCCAATTTTCATCTTACTTTTGTATCATTCAAGTATATTGAAAGCTTGTTTTATTAGGAAAATACAACACACTGCATGAAATATGTGTTACAATAATATATTAATTTGTGAATATATGCAAAGCTGCCTGTTAGAATCATAGAATCATAGGACTGGAAGGGACCTCGAGAGGTCATTGAGTCCAGCCCCCCGCCCTCAAGGCAGGACCAAGCTCCGTCTACACCATCCCTGACAGATGTCTATCTAACCTGTTCTTAAATATCTCCAGAGAGGGAGATTCCACCACCTCCCTTGGCAATTTATTCCAATATTTGACCACCCTGACAGTTAGGAATTTTTTCCTAATGTCCAATCTAAACCTCCCCTGCTGCACTTTAAGCCCATTACTCCTTGTCCTGTCCTCAGAAACCAAGAGGAACAAATTTTCTCCTTCCTCCTTGTGACACCCTTTTAGATATTTGAAAACCGCTATCATGTCCCCCCTTAATTTTCTTTTTTCCAAACTAAACAAGCCCAGTTCATGAAGCCTGGCTTCATAGGTCATGTTCTCTAGACCTTTAATCATTCTTGTCGCTCTTCTCTGTACCCTTTCCAATTTTTCCACATCTTTCTTGAAATGTGGCGCCCAGAACTAGACACAGAACTCCAGCTGAGGCCTAACTAGTGCAGAGTAGAGCGGCAGAATGACTTCACGAGTTTTGCTTACAACACTCCTGTTGATACAACCTAGAATCATATTTGCTTTTTTTGCAACAGCATCACACTGTTGACTCATATTCAACTTGTGGTCCACTATGACCCCTAGATCCCTTTCCGTCATGCTCCTTCCTAGACAGTCGCTTCCCATCTTGTATGTATGGACCTGATTGTTCCTTCCTAAGTGGAGCACTTTGCATTTCTCTTTATTAAACTTCATCCTGTTTACCTCTGACCATTTCTCTAACTTGCTAAGGTCATTTTGAATTATGTCCCTATCCTCCAAAGAAGTTGCAACCCCACCCAGTTTGGTATCATCTGCAAACTTAATAAGCGTACTCTCTATCCCAATATCTACATCACTGATGAAGATATTGAACAGTACGGGTCCCAAAACAGACCCTTGCGGAACTCCACTTGTTATCCCTTTCCAGCAGGATTTAGCACCATTAACAACTCTCTGACTATGGTTATCCAGCCAATTATGCACCCACCTTATCGTGGCCCTATCTAAGTTATATTTGCCTAGTTTATCAATAAGAATATCATGCGAGACCTCTTGCTTTTAATGTATTTATAAAAGGTCTTCTTGTTTCCCTTTATGCCTGTAGCTAGTTTGAGCTCATTTTGGGCCTTTGCCTTTCTAATCTTGCCCCTGCATTCCCGTGTTGCTTGCCTATATTCATCCTTTGTTATTTGTCCCAGTTTCCATTTTTTATATGACTCCTTTTTTATTTTGAGATCATGCAAGATCTCCTTGTTAAGCCAACCTGGCCTTTTGCCATATTTTCTATCTTTCCTACACAGCGGAATTGTTTGCTTTTGGGCCCTTAACAACGTCCCTTTGAAATACTTCCAACTCTCCTCAGTTGTTTTTCCCTTCAGTCTTGCTTCCCATGGGACCTTACCTACAAGTTCTCTGAGCTTATGTTGAAGTAAGGGTTTGTATTAGTCCAGAAGATATACACAGTAAAACAAGCATGCAAACAAGATCTGAAGTGCATAAGCACCTGAAAGTGCTGATGAATCTCACACTTACCACATACACATACCACATGTCTTGTGATTGGTGTGGTCCAATTATTAAATATAAATATAGGCTAATAGTTCTAAGTATACAACAATAAACTGTATATTCAAGTGAAAGTTTTATTTGGGGATTAGAGATATATTGTTTTCTTACACTTAGAGGTAACATTGTGCATTAAGTTCTGTTTTAGTTCTACAGCAAACCACATTAATGCTTTGAATTGTGTGTATATGAAATAATCCCCTTCCCCCCATTTTATACACGAAATAAACATCAGATATTTACCCCCAAAATTATTAATAGTTCTTGCACTGATTTTCATCTGATTTGTTTTTTGTTGTGGTAATATACACTGATAAATTCCCAGGGAAAATTAAATGAACTGAAAATGAAGGGTCCTAGCTATAGAAGAGCCCTTCATGTCTTTCACAGCTGCATGAGGATTTTTGTTAGTTCTGTGTTTGGGGTATTTTTTTGCGTTTTGTCAGCTGATTGTGCGCTACTTTTTTAAAATTTTGGCTCTTAAAGTTAAGCATAGTGACGTTTCTTTAAAACATCCAGTTAATAATTGTCACATAATAAAAACTGTATAAGTTTTTATTGCTAAGATTTGATTTTGTACTACTCAAATTCTTAGTAGCTGATTGATCTTAGACTCTTTGTAAATCCTTCATACTTAATCAGTATGCTTTTTGTATGGCTTAGTCACTTCCAAATGTTACATTTCAGTAAACTACTGTTCACTTCTAACTTTTCACGATTGTATGTATTAACTTATATCGGATTGAAACATTTATATACTATATCTTTATTATAGGTATAGCAACTCCCTCACAAGAAATTCTATATAGTGTGCTTGGGACTCTAATTAAAGAAAGGAAGATATATCACACTGGAGAAGGCTACTTCATAGTGACGCCTCACACTTACTTTATCACAGATAATGTCAGGAAAGAAAATAAAAAGTTCCCATTAGAGGATAATTGCATTCTACTGCCGTCCACCTCTTACCTTGTAAACATGGAGAGCCGTGGAGATCTATCAAAAGAAAATATTCCTATGGTATCTCATTACAGATCCTGCCATTGTTTCCTTGCTCAGGCTACAGTCAGTGAACAAAGACATCAGCAGTTAATTAGCCATGAACCTAATGGAAGAGGTCAAAAAGGCTCTCCTGAGTTGAAGCCCATAGTTCAGAATCAGCCTGAATTTACATCAGTTGAGACTCATTCATGTGACACAACTAAGTCCTTAACTTCAATGAAAGAAAAAGAGAAATGTAAAAAGTTTGGCCTTAGTCTTTTCTGGCGTAGCACATCTAAGAAAGAAAAACCTAAAAAAACGTATTCCCCTTTTTCTGCCCAGTTTCCTCCTGAAGAATGGCCAGTTAGGGATGAAGATAATTTAGATAACATTCCACGTGACATTGAACATGAAATCATCAAGCGTATTAACCCTATGCTGACAGTAGATAACTTAGTTAAACACACAGTACTCATGAAAAAATTTGAGGAACAGAAAAAATATATTAGTAAAGGCACCTCAACCGAAATGTTGGGAATTAAGCAAAAACATATTTCAAAAGGATGCATTCTTAAAAAGCTAAATAAAACAGCAAAGCATCACCAAAAAGTTCAATCCAACAAAGAAAATCAGATAAGAAAAACACAGAGAAAATCTCAAATCAGTGAGATCATGTCAGAAAATGACAAACAGGAAAAATGTTCAGGGTGTCTGTCATCATCACATGTTACAAATGAAGTTGTAGCTCCTGAACAGCTATATAAGGATGCAACAGTTAAATCCAATTATATATATAAAAAGCAAATTAAGAATCCTTTTCAAGGTCTACCATGGAGAGAAAAACTTTCTACAAAAGGGCACAAAAGTCAGAAAAACAGTCAATTTAAATCCAGGATTCAAAAGCAAGATTTTAATTTTCAAAGGTCAAGATCTTTGGATTCCTCAAGAATCTTTGACCGTGAATCCATACATTCAAATGTTGAAAATTGCAGTGACAATGCCAAGCAAAACAAATTATCCCACATTAGCAATTCTTTTGTCCAACCCATCAAAAGCCATTGCAATGAATGCTCTAATTTTCCACAATGCAGTACTTTACAAATAGATGATAAATGTCATTACTCCAGAGAGAGTAGCCTTTCTGACTGTGTTTACAGAAGAGCATACAAAAAAGTTGTTGATATTCCAAAAAATAATGTATCTTATGTTGAAAATATGTTTGAGTTCAATGAAGAAATAAAATGTCCACTAAGTTCAAAAGATACCCATCAGTGTGAAAAACCTGCCATCATATGTGAGCTAGATCAAACATCAAGTCAGTTTAAAAATGTCAGTCTTTCTAATGATCCTGCAGCTGATAACCAGATTAAACCATCTGAAAATGGTGCAAATCAAGGACAAAGTGCTGACAAAAAGAATGAACTCATGTTTTATAACACTACTATATGGCCTGAGTCTATTAATCGAGGAAACGGATTTACTGATGATCAAACTCTGTATCAAAAACTAGATGGTTATGATGATGTTGACGCATGCAGCTCATTATATCTTGAGGAGGAGGATTACTCTGAATCCTATAAACAGCTACCCAGCCACACCATTTCAGAAACAGGAGAATGGAATAAGGTACTACAACAAATAGGAACTGAAATATTTATTGGAAACCGGGGTCTTGATATGCATCCTGTTGAGTGCAATGCTACAATAAATAAATTAGATTCTTGTGGGTCAGTGGATGGCTCTCAAGAGTGCCAGAAAATAAATCTTCTGGGAGAAAACTGTTTCCATGATCAGCTATCTCAGTTAGTTTACAAACATCATGAAAAGGAAGTTGACCTTCCTAAACATGTTCAGGCTTCAGTTACTGGTGTCAGCATATTTGATTTCTGTAAAAGAAATGAGGGTGACTCAGATGCTGAAACTTTGCAGAACACTCCCAATGATACGAGAGAAAAATCAGCAAGCTGGACACTGGGATCGCAGATGATGGAAATGAGGGAAAATAATGGAAAAAAGCAACTGCTTCTTAATAGTACACATACTACAATTTCAGGGCCAAATGCCCAACAAGCACCAAATAACTTAGAAGGAACAGAAAACCAGAGCATTACAGGAGACAGTGGAATTGATTCTCCAAGGTAAGAACACATGTCAATTATGTTCTTCTTCAATAAAAATAAATAACTAGGGGGCTGCGCCCTCTGCTTGCTATGCTCGCCTGCCTCCCTCCACCCTTGCTGCTTTCGCTTCGCTGAGAGAGCCTGTGGACACTGATGATGTCATTCTGTCATCCGCCAGGAAAAACTTATTTATTTATATAGAGAGATAATATCATCATCAGATTTAGGTATGTTTGCTGTAATAGGTAACAATTGCCATGAAGAACTCCACTGCCAAAGTGCACTACAGAAATACTCTCCAAAAAGGTAGAGTTAAATTATCTTTCCTATAAATCTTTCATATACTAAACTAATAACATATGTAACAATTGTTCCTCTGAAGCAAAAAAATATAATTAATTCTGTTTTACAGAAGGGGGAACCAAGACACATAGTAGTTAAGCACTTTGCTAGGAGACACTGTGGCTTAGTAATTAAAGCATGTTCCTGGTAATCTGGAGGCTTGGGTTTTGATGTTGACTTGACTGTGTGATGTTAGGTATGTTGCTTAACCTTTGTGTGTCTCAGTTACTCCATATGAACACTAGGGATAATCATTACTTAAAATAGATGTTTTGAGGTCTAATTAAACGTGTAAAATATTATTCAGACCAGTGAGAGTTGTTAAAAGATTTTAAATGTTCTGGGGTCTCAACCTTGTGCTCATTCCGTTACCTATGACATGTGTAGCTTGTGTGACTGATCCCACTTTTCATAATTTTTCACAAATGCATGTAATCAGAAATGGTTTGTGAAAAAAGCTTGTGTTTTGCATGCTTACCTGCAAAAACAATTCAGGCTTCTAAATTTTCACACACATTTTGAAAATTCTGGATGTTTGAAATTGGAGGAAATACTAGTAACACAAGGGCCTGAAGCAAAATCTATGCAGCACAGGCCTGGTTTGAGGCCTAGCTAACAATAGTCAAGAGCTTGCTAACATAAAGCAAAGTTAAGCTGTGAGCAAGAAGCAGGTCACTGCTCACAGAACTTGGCACAAACAGGTTGAGAGTGTAAAACACTAATTGGTAATAGACACAAATGTAAAAGAGTAATTGGTACTAGGTACCAGTTGTAAAACAGTAATTGATAGCGGGCACAGATTGAAACCACATTCTAGAAGGATGGTAACACCTCGTTAAAAGGACCTTGGTACCCACACACTTCCCAAAGATAACAGGGACATATTGACTCAGGTTCAGGAAGGAGTCTAAAAGGACAGTATGGCAGATGAAGATGTTTTGATCAGATCACCATGTGCAGGGTGATGGTTGGTATCTAGATAACATCAGAGGATGGCACCCTGACACATCAGGAGTGACGTGTAACTTTTTTGTATCTGTATATAAAGTGGTGTCTTGGAGGGTTGTCTTTGTCTGGCCTACAGGGTAGTGATGGATTCCATGTTACTGACTGAGCCATGTCCATTGGCGGGGGGTACATATGCATAGTGGTTCAGTAGAGTCTATTGACAACTATTACTATACTTTGTTGGACAATAAACCTGCCTGGGTACTTTCGTAGTCTTTGAGGGCAGAAAAAGACTGTGTTGATTGCCTGCATAAAGTCAATACAGTACACAAGAGGAGCATCCACACATGCAGCTGAATGGTTATCACTGACAGAGCCGGAGACGTGTCAGGATATCACGCCAGTGAATTCTGACTATTACTGAAACCAACTTTTAAATACTTGTTTAAATTTTTGAGAGGGACATTCTACTCAGCTCTATTTGTAATATCAAATCTTATAGTTCTTATTTAGACAGAATTCCTAATGATATCAGCATGTGTTTTGGCTGAGCAAATATTATAACAGGGATGGATAAACTTTTTGGCCTGTGGGCTGCATGGGATACCAAAGCTGTATGGAGGGCTAAGTAGGAAAGGCTGGGCCTCCTCAAACAGCCAGGCATGGTCATCCTCACATCCTCCATCCCAGGTCAGGGCAAAATCTGGCCCACCAAGCCACCAGATCCAGCCCACAGAGGCAGTGGGGAGCCCCAGGCAGGCTCCCCTGCTTGCCCCACATGCTGCTCAGAAACTCGGCTGCAGGGCGCTTTCTCTTTGAGTGCGGAGGGGAGGAAGGACGATTCAGATGCTGCTCCCACCCCCAGCACAATCCCATTGACTAGTTTCTGGAAAGACACTGGCCAGTGGGAGCCGCCCGTTTGAATAACAGGCAGCCACAAAGTACAATCCTTCTGCTCACTCACTCAAGCACGTGGCTAAGCAAGCAGAAATGTTTTAAACTCTGCAAGCCTTTAGCTCTGCAAGCAGGCAGGGTGGTAAGTCTCCTAGCGAGAGCCTGCCTCTGGCACCTCAGCCCCTCCCTTCCTCAACCCTCTGCCCCACACTCCGGCCCTGCTACGCCACATGCACGCATACACCTCCTAGATCTGGCACCCCAATCTCCTGCCTGAAATCACAATCCCCTCCTACCCTAGGTCACATCCCAAAACCCTCCACCCCAGTTCCCTGCCCTAGTGCCCTAAGGAGTTCAACTACCTCATTTGCCCAAACTCCCTCCCAGATGCCATTTTCCCTCCTGCACCCCAATCCTTTACCCCAAGCTCCCTTCTGCCCCCAGCCTCCATCCCAGACCCTGCAACTCCTTCATTCATACAATGGAAGAGTGCGGCCCTCAAACACTTTCCAAAATCTTGGGAGTGGCTCCCATCAAAAATTATTGCCCACCCCCCTGCTCTATCCACTCCCCCTGCTCTCTACCCTTTGACACCCCTCCCTCCCAATTCTGCCATCCTCCAATCTGCCTCTGCTTATCAAGCATTGTAGGAGTTGGGCTGGCTCTTGGGAAAAGATATCCTGACCTGCTCCATGGCAGAAGCTCAGGAGCTGGACTGAAAGGCCTGACAAGCTAGAATGTGGCTGTGGGCTGTAGTTTGCTCCTGCCTCTGGACTGTAGCATTTGCACCTGTGTTCTTTTGGCGTATATGTGGCTTATTAGCCAAATACTGATCGTTTTTATTCTTAGTTGATACTCTGATAACCCAGAAATATATGTGTGGCACTAAAAAGTAAATAAACTTTTATTTTTTAGAACACAAAGTCTTGCATCTAATAATTCAGCCATTTTGGATGGATTGAAAAGAAGACAAAGTTTCCTGCAGAACTTTGAAGGCATAAATAACAGCGCAGAGAGCCTTTCACAAAATACATTGTTTCAGTTAACTCCAGTCATGAATGTTTAAGTTTCTTCTCTTACAGATCTTTGTGAATTCTTCCTTTTGTATAATGTAAATAGCTTTACTGTAATTTTTTTAAAACAATCAAATACATAATGATGCATCAAAATCCATGTATAATCTTTAAACTTGTTTGAATATTCCACTTTGGATTTTTTACTTTTAATTAACATTTTAATAATAAGACAGTTACTTTTGTTAATAGATAGTATGACCATCTTATGTAATAAAAATGTGCAAAGCAAACGTATGGACAAATTATTAGCCTGACATGATAGTACATGGTTCTCCAATAAGAACCATGCAACTATAATAAATTGATACAAGTTACACTTCTTAAGGTACTTCCTATGTGCACCACTGGACCAACAGAACCACTAGACCCCAGCATACATAATACAAATTAGTAGGAAAAAAGACATGACATCCTGCCTCACTCCAAAAAAAGCCACTTGAGATTGAAAACTTGCTCTCTCTAGATGAGAGAGAACACTAATACTCTGATGACTAAAGCCAATGGACCTACTTGTACAAGGCAAAAAGGAAAAAGCATTTCTAAGAATAAGTCAAGAGAATCTTTTATTGATATAGGATGCATAGGAGAAAATAGACTATCTTGCTGCCACTAATTAAAAAGTTTCACTTATAGCATCCCTTTTTGAATGTTAGACTTTCTGAAAGAAAGCCTTTTCCCAAGTAATAGAATGGCCATCACTTAATCTCCTAATTCCAGGGGGATAAAAATCAATGACTTTTTAAAAAATTGGATTTTTAATGTAAATTAAATACACAGTTATTTAAAATATATTTAAAATTAAATTTGAATTTGACAGCCTATTTTAAGGCCTAAACTTACTACAGGTTGAACCCTTCTAGTCTGGTACTCTGAGGTCCAGCAGCATCTGTGGTCCAGCATGATTTTAGTTAGCCAGATGTCTACTTATGTGTCTGGCCAAGTTTCTTGCAGTCCTATAAAGTTTGCTTACAACCTGTTCTGGCTCTCCATGTTCTGTGTTGTTATTTAGCTCTAATTTACCCCTAAATGTCTTCTAAGAGCCCAGTAAACAGTGGAAGTGTTGGTAATGCTGCTAGACAATATTAACCTCCCCTGAAGCAAAATGCAGGACAATGTAGCACTTTAAAGACTAACAAGATGGTTTATTAGATGATGAGCTTTCGTGGGCCAGACCCACTTCCTAACCTCCCCTGGTTCACTAAATTCTCTGGTTTGGCACCGGTCAGGTCCCGAGGATGCCAGACTAGAGAGGTTTAACCTGTACAATCTATTATTTGTCTTCATTGCCTTTGTCGTCATCTTTATATGGCTGGTGTAGAGCAACAACTAGCTTCACCTGAAGCTGATCAAGCCAAAGGCTACATCAGGTATAACAGAATTTATTTTGCATCAATACCTCTTTCATATTAATAAATTGGGCAGTAGATAGTGATATGTTTAATGGTCTGTTGTAGGAAGTTTAGTTTAGCCCAATCTGCTTTCCAAGCCTCCTCCTGATCATAACCTAATTGCATGAGGCTAAATGAATGTTTCCAGAAAGGCTTGCAAGAAGTAAGATGCAGGGGAAGAAGGGGACGTTGTTAACATCTTGGTAAATAGGAAGGCATATGTTTCCCTGGATTCCCTGATCTTTGCAGAATGTTGCAGAAGTTTGGTGTATCAGTAGGGAAGTGATGTTAGAACAGATAGCCATGGAGTTGGAATTGGCTTAAGGTTCTCGTGATGCATTACATCACTGTATTCAGATACTACTACTACTACTACTAAACGTAGTATGTGCATAATATTCAACTACTGAATATACAAGTGTCAAGCCACAGGCCCAGGGCCCAACAGGGTTGTGGATTTGCTTCAAGACAGAGTCAATTAGGGATAGATACCATAAAATCTTCAGTATAATGTGCACTGATGTATAATGCGCACCAACTTTTGAATCTTAGCATAATGAAAAAAACGGAACCCTTATATATAATGTGCACCCCATTGAACATCAAGCTTACCTCAGACATTTTTCTTTAAAAAGGCCAGGAGCCGACCTGCCAGCACCAAGCCCAGCCTCACCCGATTCCCGGAGGTGGCCCTGGGCTGCAGGAGAGTGGGAGGGAGGGACGCGCCGCTCCCACCTGCAGACTCACCTGGGAAATGTGCACACAACCCGGGGAGCCAGCAGCGGAGTTTGAAACCTGCCCCCCGCCCCCTAGAAAGCTGCCCACGCACCGCACCGAGCTCGCGCCTGCTGCGGGGACCACTGGGCGCAGCCTGAAGGAGCACTGGCCAGGCAGTGAGCCAGGGCACTGCAGCCTGGTGGCGCCGCTGGCTCCTCGCCTTGTCTGGGAGCCAGGCGGGGTGGCAGCCCCTGCGCCGCGCTGCAGCGGGAAGGTTTTTGTGTGGAGGGGAAGGGGAGTTCCCCGACCTGGGGCTACTTACAGGTTCGTTGGCTTCTGCCAAAATAAAACTTTAAAATATAGCTCCTATGTATAATGCGCACCCTGACTTTGACGCTAAATAACCTGGAAAAAAAGTGTGAATTAGTCTTGAGATTTTACTATAGTTGCTTTTATTAATCTCACTACGTCACTACTATTACAGGCTTAATACTGCCAGATGGTTACACAGCTACTTCAAAGTAATACAACAATCAGCATAGGCAAAGCAATGCATATAAGAGTAACAGGCACTTGGAAATGCTTACATCTGCGGGAAGTCCTGTTCTGGTCACCTTGCACCCAGCCACAGTGGACATGGCTCCAACTAGGGGGATTCAGGACACCCTTTGAGGTTCAGGTCCCTATTGAGACTCTCAGAGGGGCGGGACTCCCAGTGATCCTATACTACAGTTGTTTACCAGGTGTGCACGTACCTGGCTCAACGCCATTCTTATCATTCTTATGAGCTGAGACCAAGGTCAAACTTGTTTACCGCTTAGTAGTTTCCCAGCTCAAGGCATGGGTTAGAGCTGATAAAGCCCAGCTGCGGTGTGGCTAGACTACATGGCTCCGTTGTCGGAGACATGTAGATGAGGCAGGACGACAAAGGGAAATGAAGCGGCGATCTAAATAATCGCTGCTTCATTTAAATAAAAATGGCCACCGTGCTGTGCCGATCAGCTGTTTGTCAGCACAGCGCGGCAGTCTAGACGGGGATCTGCCAACCCCAGAACCCTTCGTCGGCAGATCCTGTGAGCCTCGTGAAACGATAAGGATCTGCTGATGAAGGGTTCTAGATTGCCATGCTGTGCTGACAAACAGCTGATTGGCACAGCATGGCGGCCATTTTGATTTAAATGAAGCGGCGATTATTTAAATAGCCACTTCATTTCCCTTTTTTGAGTAAACTAATCTACGTGGCTCCGTTGATGGCTCCGTTGATGGAGCCATGTAGATTAGACGTACCCCTGCTGTTTGGGCTTGCAGGGTTCCAGGCTATGTTAAGCTGGATACAGCAGGGATGGAAACTTCCATTCCAGACCTGCTAAGCTGCAGGACCCACATATGACTTTCATGTGGCAACAAGTACTATTGCAGATGTTCTTAGTACTGATGCTGATGCATCCTAGATTGTTTGTGTTAGATACTGGGTTTTGTTAGCTCTCATTTTCATCTTTGCAGCTACTTTGGTCCTACCATGGGGTCAGGGGACTGGACTCAATGACCTCTCGAGGTCCTTTCTAGTCCTAGTATTCTATGATTCTCAAGATAATCATGGAAGGAAAGGGTGCAGACAAGTTTCGCTCTTGATATGCTAAAGTATATTTGGGTGGCTCATTTTCACCACAGAAGCCCACTTTCAGTGTGTTTGGGCACTTTTATTATCAAGATGAAATGTGCTTACTACTGTTTTTCCAGGGTTTGGTTCAAGCCTCCTTTTCTAGAAATATTGTTCAAATTTTGAAGGTCCTCAGTTAATGCTTTTTCAATGTCATGAAGGTTGGATGTTTGGATCTTCACAGCAAGATCATCGTATTTCCATATTGGCATAGAAAGTACGCTTATTGGCTATGTCTAGACTGCCATGATTTTCCGGAAATGCTTTTAACTGAAAAGTTTTCTGTTAAAAGCATTTTCGGAAAAGAGCGTCTAGATTGGCACGGACGCTTTTCCGCAAAAGCACTTTTTGTGGAAAAGCGTCCGTGGCCAATTTAGATGCGCTTTTCCGCAAAAAAGCCCGGATCGCCATTTTCGCGATCGGGGCTTTTTTTGCGGAAAACAAATCTCAGCTGTCTA